CCTGCCCCCAACGGGCAGGACCCTGCTCCCCGCCAGCCTTACCTGCGCCACGGCTGCCTGAGGAGGTGGTGGTCATGCTGCTGGGAAAGGGGGGATCCAATGGGGCGGCTGCGGTGGCAGTGAATGCCTGGCACATGCCCGTGTCCAGGGGCAGCTCAGCACCATCAGCTGCAGGGGAGATGCTGCCCAGTTCTGCCGGCGTGGGGACAACTGGCTGCTCCTCTGCCTCCATGGCTTGCACTGGCAACAGAGCAGGTAGGTGAGGGCAGGATGAGGAAAAAAAAAAACTAGCCTGGGGGTCCTCATCACCCCCATCCCTCCTTGTTGCTGTGGGAGGAAGGGGCTCTCCAGCCCTTGGGGCTGGTTCCCACCCCAGCACACACAGCCGGACCAACGCCGAGAGTAAGACAGGCACCTTCCCCATGGGCGAGAGTCCCCATTTGATCCACAAATCCCTCCCCACTGTCCCCTGCCACATTTAGGGGACCATGCAGAGTCTGTGGCACCAGTGGGCAGAGATGGGGTGAACCCTGTCATTCGCAGCCCATCACCCATCACCCAGCTGGCACTGGCCACCAGTTAGACCAGTATCAGTGTGGGCGACCCCAGCACTTACCTGGCAGCACCCAGAGCCCCCACAGCGCCCAGCTCCAGAGCAGCCACTGGCCACGGCCCTCCATGGCTCTCCCTCGGCAGCAGGGACAGGGCTGCAGCTCTCCCTGTCCCAGGGCAGCGACACAAGTGGGTGGCTCCACAGGTGAGCACTGCCCCAGACCGGAAAGGCGGAAGGGGGGGTGGGGGGGGGAACAGAGTTTGGGACGCCACATGCCCTGCCTAGGGCACTGACGTCTCTGTACTGATGTCTCCCATGGAGGTGGCCGTGTCCCAGTCCACCGGTGCTGGGGGAACACTCATTTTGGCGTAAGTTTTAAGGCCCTTCCCAGGTGGACACCCCAAGGTTGGGGTCCCCAAATCCCAAGGGAGCACCCGTTGGGCTGCAAAGTCACCTGGCCCAAACGCCCTGGCATGGCAAGCAGTGCTCCCAGCACATTTGGGAGGGGTGGCTCAGCCCTGGGCCCTGCATCCCCTCATACACCCCCATCATTTGCTGCTGGGTCCCTGCATGGCCAATCACCCCTGGCAGGGGTGGGCTCGCCGCCAAGGAGGAAGAAGGAAGGAGCAGGCTCCCACCGCCGCCTCGGGGTCCCACATCCTAACCCTGCCCTGGCCCCCCCTCCCGGCACTGCTGCCTGGGGCCCTGCATGCCGGGGTTATCTGTGCCATCGCTGCTAACGCCCACGCCAGCCTGTCCGGGGGGGGTTTGTTCCTGCATGAGTGGCAGGACTGGGCCTTGCCCTGGGTCACCTTGCACCAGGGACAGGGGCCAGGTGCACCCAGCTGTGCAAAGGGACCCGGTGGGGCCATTGCAGCAAACACTTCTGCTTCTACAGGGCCTAGCCCAGCTCCAGGATCATCTAAGGGTTCAGAAATAATTTGGTGACGGTGTTGTGCCTTCCTCGCTTCACTGACAGCCATCCCACCTGGCTGACATGCCATGCAATGGGGAAACTGAGGCACGGAGAGCCCAAAGCACCTGTGCATGGCTGTGCCAACGTAGCACCAGCAAATCTCCCTGTCCCCACACTCAGGGAGGGTCAGGGGACCTTTTGTGGGTGCACATGGCACATAGGTGATGTGACCAGGTACCCCCTGCCACAGAGATGCCCCATGGCCATGCTGAAGCAGCACGTCCTGCCAGGCAATTCACTGTGTGTGGTGGGGTCTCTCCTCCGAAGCCACCGGCTCTGGAGCAGAGGACATCCTGGGGGACCAGGTACCACCCATGCCCATGGACTCGGTGGGCTCTGAGGTCCTCCTCTACCTGCACGGAGATGCTGCAAGGTGGCACCTCAGTGAACCCACCTCAGGGGCTCTGACACCCACTGTCCTGGGACCCACAGGGGACAGCACCCACCCACCACCCCCCCTTCCCGGCACCTGGCTGTGGTTGCGCGGTGGTGGCATCCGGTTGCACAACGCCCCTCACGCGTGGGTGGGGGCGCGACGCAGGTAAAAAAGGCCATGAGTCAAGCGGCAGCCGAGTCCCGCAGGGCATCGGGGCAAGGGGGGCCCTGCTTTGGGGGCTCCCCTGCACTGAGGCATCTCCATGGGCAAGCACTGCCTGCTCAGAGAGGGCAAAACTGTGCCCCCAGCCTTTGAGTTTTGGTCCTGGGGGTGGGATGGCAGGTGACAAACTCCAGCAGCCCTAGCTGAGGAGACCTTT